CTCTATGATAAGAGAGCACGCAGTGGAGTGTATTTTTCCTGAGCAGCCTAGCAAAAGGGCAACCGTGCAGAAATCCAAATGTCAACAGCATATGCTCTTCCGCAGGGTTCCAGCATCACATTAAAGGATGGCAAAATACACCAGAGCCAAACAACAGCTTTTGTCCACGCACACCCTGTGTTAACTCCAGCTCTGATTTCTGTAACAGCCACTGGAGCTGTCAGGAATTGTATGTGAGGGAAGGGACTGAATGTATGTGCTGCCGACTTCACGGAGTTGCTTGGGAGCGTCTCATTTGCCTTCTTCCTGAAAAAGAGTTCTGCTCCAAAATAATAGGATGGAGCAGTGGGATATAAAGATTCCATAATTCATGGTGACTTCAGAGATAACTCTAAGTACTCTTCTTACACAGAGAACGATGGCTCGGGGCTTTTAGTTTTGTTTGTTTCTGGTTTTCATACTGTGAATTAACCTCACACATGGAAGCAAAGGAACAGAAGCTGTGTGTTTTATAATGCCACTACTGCCAGAGCACTTAAGACTAAAGGCTTTTTTAATATTTTTTCTTGGAGTGAATCATCGTGTGTAGGGGGTGGGGTTGGTTTATGTTTATGTTTTTTTAAAATTAACCCAGCTAACCATTTGTTCCATACCCCACACAATTTGTTGCTTCTCTTTTAGTACTCCTTGAAAGACAAGATTTGGAAATAAATATACATCTGGCAAGGCTGAAAGGACGTTCGCAAGCACTGCAGGCTAACGGGAATTCCACAGTGGACTATTTGCTTCCTTTTTCAGAGATAAATCAAAAGGAGAGGAAAAGAAAAAAAACCCACTAGTAGAAACATCTACTGAGATTAAATTGCAGTGGGAGCAAAAGAGTTTTATCATGTTAGCTTTATCAACATTTAAACAGAAATATTTACCAAGAACTGGAGGATTCAAGAGCACATTCCTGGTTTACCTTGTTAATTCTTTGCTTTTCAATTTCCAGTCTTTCTACCACGTGCAGCTCTGATGTCTCTCAGCAAACCCACATGACCACAGCCTGGTCTGGTTGATTATTAGGTACGCTTGGTCTCCCAGCCTAGTGGAGCCAAACTACTTAGCAGAATACTTTGCTCATCCATAAACCAGCATCCCTTTTACATAGAAATAAGCTGTATTCAAGATATTTATTCAAGATATCATAGGAGCACCTCTCCTATGATGAAAGGCTGCGAGAATTGGGCTCGTTCAGCCTGGAGAAGGGAAGGCTCCAGGGAGACCTTATAGCCCCTTCCAGTGCCTGAAGGGGCTACAAGGAAGCTGGGGGGGGGCTTTTTACAAGGGTCTGTAGTGACAGGACAAAGGGTAATGGGTTTAAATTGAAAGTGGGGAGGTTTAGATGAGATATCAGGAAGAAATTCTTCCCGGAGAGGGTGGTAAAGCACTGGAACAGGCTGCCCAGAGAAGCTGTGGATGCCCCATCCCTGGAAGTGTCCAAGGCCAGGCTGGATGAGGCTTGGAGCAACCTGGTCTAGTGGAAGGTGTCCCTGCCCATGGCAGGGGAGTTGGAACTAGATGGTCTTTAAGGTCCCTTCCAACCCAAACCATTCTAGGATTCTATGATTTATATGAGAAATAGCAGCATTTCACAAGACAGGGAGAACAGCTGGCAACTTTCCAACTCCAAGCTCTTCCTTGCTCTAAGAAACTGGTGTCTGCCCATGAGGGAGAGGGATCTAATCTCTCCAAAGTTTGTGCTAAGAGGGATAGGATGGTTTGCACCAAAAACAAGGGCTCATCTACAACAAATTTCTGGCCATAGTAGTCATCTGGAAGAACTATTATTATGCCCAGTAGATATGGATATCCAAGCAGCCAGAAACAAACTCTCAGCACGTTGCATGATCACTCCTGATAATCAAGGCACTTCACATGAAAGTGTTCAGAGAGAGAGAGAAATGGTGCAACTGGGATTACAGACTCTTTCCAACGACATATAAACCAGCTCAAGATGATCAGCCACAACACAGGCAATCAGGCACCATGCTCATCAAAATGCTATCTAGAGGCAAAACTCATTACTTATTCAGTGAGAGTATATACTGATACAGAGGAAGACAGACTCATATTTAGCTTTTTGTGTGGATGGAAATGCACCTTGGTAAAGAAACATCATGATGCCTGTGTGCTCAGTGCATTTTGTTGTGCTGTGACTGTACTGCCCAGCAGCTCACCTATTTTTTACTGATTTATTCTAGAGCATGAACGAACAACCAGAAAGTGTTTTCTCCAAATGCTTGCCAAAAGCCAAAAACCACACAAGAAAGGGTTTTGCAGGTGAAAGTACCAAAATCTGTGTACCTACAGCTGCAGAACTGATTAAAAGGCAGGCATAAAAGGAGGTAATTCCTAAGCAGGTGTTTGTACTTACAAAATACAAATTAGGAGATACACATACTGTATTGAAGTGTCTATAAATGGAGACATGCTATAATCTAGATATATGTCTAAATATGTACCAACTTTAACTAATCTTAGATTAATGAACAAGTTTGTTAATGATCTTTTAACGCAATTTTTATTTTAGGAAGTGCTAAACAGTGTTACAGACCAGGAATGTTCAAGTACAAGAGAGAAAGTAGAGGATGACTCATTTTTAATTTTTCTATGAAGAAATTGTGCACTAATGTCAATTATCAAATCACATGAGTTGACAGAATTTAAGGTGACCTTTTCAATATTATCTCAGTCTTGCTACTTCTAATGCTTTTCTTTAGTTAAATTTATCATTAGCTATTTCTATCCATACAACCAGGTATATTTGTGGAAATGCTCTCTGATATGGTATTTATTGGGGTTTCTTATTTTGACCTGTTTTAAATGTAATTTAAGACCTCAAAACCAGTAATGACATATTTAAGTATGTAGTTGACCTGTTTCTATTTTGCTATGCAGGGAATGCATGCATTGTTGTTTTCTGTAACATCACCTCCTAAATACTCTGTAACTATCCTTAAATTGTGGTCTGATTTTCTTTTTATCTTGTGAAAGCCTATTATTTAGTAGCTACTATCAGGTATGAGATGCATTCTTCATTTATTTGATGGTCATAATGCCATGTTAAAAACCCAAATATATTTGGTAATAAATAACCAAGGATATTTTAATAAGTGGCTACAAACCTTACTGCAGTGCTCATGTTCTGTATGCTTGTTTGCACAATAAATCCATACAGCACCTGCAAAATTCTCCCTAATCTCCCAGAGCCAATAGCAAGAGCTAGGCATGAGAACTCTGGTTTAATAGATAAATTTTCTAGTAGAGGTGGGGATCATGGTACAATCAGGACAAGGGATTTTTCTCAGTATTGGGCTGTTTTTTATCCATGGTTGTGGTTTGGGTCCTCAGTTAGTACTGATGGAGGAATCCAGGAGGAATTAACACAGGTCTGTCTATTTTGATCTGTCTGTCCTGTGACTTCCAAAACACTGAAGTTTGGATTCCACACATAATCCAGCTTTACAAACATTCTTTTCCCTTTCTTTGGCTAACAATATGCTACTTCTACTCTGAGCTCTTGTATACTTATGACCATATATATTAATCCCCGAACTACTTCAGCTAATAAGCTCAAAATCCTTAAACTGCAACTCTGAAAACAGATTACATGAGTCCAGTTCCAGTGTCCCACTACTTGCAACTACCGGAGTAGGTCCATTGCAGAGGGTGATGAAAACCTGAGCACGAATGTGTGTTCATAACAAGTGAAGCGTTTGCAAGCAGGTAATCAGTTCCTTCATCAAATGCTTCCCTCTGGGTCTGATCACAGCTTCTTTTGCAGAAAGTTATGAAGATAAATTTAAAAAAAGAAAAACCAAAATGCCCTTTTCATTTTAGATGGGGGACGTTTTTCTGGAAAGCTTGCTTCCTGGCCAGTTATAAACCTAACCAATGTACTGCGTTAAAGGCTTCTACATTTGGCCATATGCATTTTTCTTTAGAAATGCAGCAAGAATCAATCCAACACAAAAGCCAGACAGACACATGACTTGCACTGCCCACTTTAGGTGGAAATTCTCTTTTATTAGAAACTGCAGAGCATGTGTGTGGGCAGGAGGGAGCAGGGTGGAGAGGTTTAGTTCCTGGTTGTCATTCTTTAGGCGTGACCACAATGCTGCAATCTCTGGAACGCAGCTGGACAGAAAGGATGAGGAATGCCCCTGCCTCCCTTGGGGAAATCAGTGTGATGATGCCAGAAGCTGTGATTTGTCTCTCCAGGAATGTTGCCACCTGCAGCAATTAAACCTCCTCTACAATAGGATTTAAACAAGAGGATGTTTTTCCTCAGAAAGTGCCAGATCATTGTTTCCTACAACTACCTCTGACAGGCAAGAAAATGAATGCCATGAGGAATCCTCAAAACAGGGTGCTGTGGCTGTGAGGGATGGTGTGCACAGGTTGACAAAATTAAGGGAGCCTGACAACTTCATCATCAGCTCCCCAGACATATCCATCAACTAGTGTTAAAGGAGCTAAAACTATGTCTAATCTCTACGCTACCATCTACCTTCACTGCATTTGTTGGACAGGAAAAAGTGTGTAAAACCAGGGCTGGAAGCTTTTTGTCATTCCACATACCACGAGCAGACTTCCCAACAAACTCCAATGGCTTCTCTTACAGATCAGAAGTCGCTTTAAAGCCTTTTACAGTTTCTTTAGAGTATTCCTCAAAACAAAACCCTTTGTCAAGAGAAACTCTTGCTTAGATATGCTTCAACTTATTTTTTATGAATGGGGATGATCGAGGAATAACAGCTTCCACAGTTAGAACAGTTAGACAGACCACACTTCATCCACAAAAGGTCAGATAATGCAACACGGTCTATGTCACATACACACCAGAGGGATACATTCCCCTTGAGCACACTGTGATGGGGAAGGGGGAGATTTTTTAGGAACGTATTGTCCCTCTTTTCAGGGCACTCTGCCGTGTGCTTTTGCAAAGATCTTACCTGTTCAGTGATGAAGGAGCTTGAAAAAGTGACAGCTGACCAAAAGAAGATCCCACAACTGAGAATGATCTTTCTGTTGAAACGGTCACCAAGGTAACCAAAGATAGGCGCCGCAACCATGAAACTACAGATGAAAACTGCAAGGAAGAGAAGAAGGAAAGAAACATTTAATAAATATCAGGCCAAGAACATGAAAACTAATTTTCTGCAAGCCAAATCCTCTAGAGAGCAGTTCCATTTAATTAGACATTCTGCAGCCCTGACTTAAAGTTGTGCAGTCTGATAGGCTTTCAGAAGTCAGTGTTTCCTTAATCAAATGGATTTTTCATTCCCAGGGAAACTTCAGATGAGCAAACTCATATTACATTTGAAAGCACGAGCCCCTCACAGTCCGCTGTGAGCTCAGCATCTGGGGATGGGCAAAACCAGGACAGAATAAATTAAGAGCTTCTGCCTAAATGTCACTGCAAAGGTGAAGTGGAGGTTGGAAGGAGTTTCAGGCAAACAGAAAGCAAGCCAAGGGCTCCTTGTTGGCTCTTGCAGCAGAGACCAGAGAGGAACAGGCCACAGAAACTGCAGTGCTTTCATCCTTCCTCGCAGTATTCAAAGGCAACCGTGAAACAGTGAGGAAAGCAGTTAACACTGCTATCATCCTACTGGCACCAGCCCTGGAGTTAGACAGAAAACTCCTGTCTCCCCATCAGGTCCCTTCACCAGCACTGAATTTGCATTTAAACTCGGCACTAAGCAACACTTTCACTAAAAGAAAGAGTTTTAACCTAGAAAGCCCTAACAGGACAGGGGTGTCCTCATCCAAAAGACTACAAGTTCCCCTTTCCCCTTTGCTTCCCCCTGCCAAAACCCCAAAGCATTAACCCAAGTCTTCTGTCACATAGAAAGGAGGCTCTTGATAGAATAACCTCTGCGACATGTCCTCGCCATCTGAGCTCCCTCCTCCAGCTCAGCTCTAAACAATCTGGCCAGTGGCACCCCGGAAAACACTTGAAATGAGGCACGCACACCATATTCATGAATAATTTGGAACTTGGCAGAAATTTCTAGATTTCAAGTTGATTTATACCTGGCTTGTGTCTGTCCACATTAGAGATTTGGATGAGAGCAACTACATCAATTTTACTGCTGAGTAGTATGAACTTTTTGACTTTCACTGAGTGTCTTGGGTTCAGCAAAGCCAGAAGGATTTGAATGGGACACTAGAAGACCTGGAGATCCCTCCTTAGTCACAGAGTTATGACTCTCATTAATGATTGGGTAGTTCTTGGAAGGCAGGGGGGCTTTCAGCATTGCCTAACCCCAGCCTTCTACTTTTAATTGTATGAAAGGGGGTGGGACGGATAGAATAGGGACACCCCCTCCTTTGTTTGGAATGCGTGCATACAATTGAAGTGGTTAAGACCCAAATTATGAATTCATGGATGATGATATATGACAGCTGAAAAATGTGCAGAATGCTGAACTGTGAAATGATCTAAATGTCTCTTTTAATATATTAAGATGTCAAGGCTGATATATAAATTATACATAGCCATTTGCATCCATATTTTGTAAGCCGTACAATTGCGTGTACGTCAATTTTGCACCATGATATTTGATAGGAGTTATAGATTTGCTCCTTTTACATTTACAGTAAAATAAATGGAAATAATACAGACATTTTCAGACATGAAAAGAAGCACATGCAACCTTGTATCCCACATACAGCCCAAGAGCCCCACGGTTCTGCTGACCCTGGTTCTTGCTTAGAGGCAGGACAGTGACTGCCTGTGTGAATGGCCTCTTTCCTACACAGGGGTGTTGTCTTTGGCGCCTATCTTTGGTTACCTTGGTGACCGTTTCAACAGAAAGAGGCCTGTGAATGGCCTCTTTCCTACACAGGGGTGTTGTGTCGTGCCCACCCCCCCTGCAGCACAGCCCAGCTCCCGGAGCTGCACATCCTCAGAACTCTCCATCTCCAGTGAACTTGGCTCTAGTAGAACATGAGTGGCTTCCAAACCTCTACCCTGCAAGGGTACATCTGCACTGGCCCCAGTCCAGCAAGGCACTTAAGTACATGCTTATATTAAGCACTTTAGAGTCATCAATTCCATGATTAAGTGCTTTCCTGAATTAACAGCCAAAGTGCTCGGCACCTTGCAAAGCTGGTACAGCAACCTGGCACGAGGGGTATGTGACTGGTTATTGGGAATGAGACACAGAAAATGACTCTGAGTCGTACAGAGCAGTGTGCCCATTGCAATTTGACCTTACCCTTGGAAGGACACTGAAACCCATCTCAGAATCAGAGATTCTGCCAGTTTTACGATGTAAAAAGACACAAAGCTAAAAAAGCTTCTAAGGGATAATTAGAAACATCCAAGTCAGCATCCCACCATTTCAAATACTGAATAACCTGATTAATTCAACTTTGAGGCATGGAGAGTACCATCCAAATCTCACATTATTCATGGGATTATTAGCTTCAATGACCTCTGGATCATAAATGCAAAGTCTAATTCCGGAATTTGGGCAAAGGCAGGCAAAAAGCACAAACCTTCTCTTTCCAATAAAACAAACTGAAAAAAAGACCGTTCAAAGCCTTTCCAACAACATACATCCTGCTGTTACTCGAATCCCTTCAGAGAATTTATTTTTGGAAGATTCTGAACTGAGCTGCGAGCTTTGTCACCGGTAAGCAGCTGATTTGACAGCTCCACAAGGTGTAAAACCAAAGGACAACAGAACCTAATAAATAACAGGTAATAGAACACAGCTGTCATAATAATAAATGCAATTTATACCAGAGTATTTATGACCCAAATATGCATCACAGCATTGATTGACTCAAATAAATGCAGAATATGATGGCTGTGTGGTCTGTCAAAAGGATCTGCCTGTTACAGGCATTTCCCGTGAATCAATTTTTGCAATTACTCCTGCCAGTGACAGACGAGACTCCTGAACAGCAGACTGGGTTGGCAGAAGAGGTGAAAGAATCTAGGGCACATCACCAGGGGGCACGGAAACCGGAGTTACTCTAGACCAGGACTTGAGGTTCTGTGACAACTGAACACCACGAAGGAGAGATGCAGAAGTCAGAAAAAACTGCCAGCACGTGCCGATGGAGAGAGGGGCAGCAGAAACACGACTGATTTGTAGAGAAAGATGGCCACGCACAAGGCAGAGGGATGCATTCCAGTAGAGGAGCCTGGCACTTGCGTCAGCCTCTTCCTATCTGGCTCCTCTCCCTTATTCCACAGCATTTTCTGCCCCTTGCACTCACCCACTCCCCAGTTAATACCCAAGTGGCACCACAGCTTCGGCTCAACCCACTGCCACCAATCTTTTCTGCTAGGAGAGCACTGTGACAGAGGCTGGCGTTTCGTTTGCCTCTGCCCAACCAACAACTCCTCGGCCCATCTACGCTTGAAGCCATCTCAGAATATTACCAGCTCTTCAAGATACAGAGTGCCAGCCAGGGCAGAGTTAGAAATCCACTGTGATTTGGGATGAGCTACTGAAAAGGCAGCGATCACGTTCGGAGCAGCTGTGGGCAGGTGTAGCTATGCCAGTCACCATTAATTATGCCATAGAGCTAATTTCTCTCGGTAAATGATCTTCCAGCAGAAGTGGCTCTGTCCCAGCACTGGGTGGAGCGGAGATACATTTCTGCTAGAGCAAATTATCGTGTGAGCAAAGCATGAATAAACAGACACGTAATGAATGCCATCCCAGGAGGGAGGTTCTTTTAAGTACAGGTATTTTCAAAAGGCGATCCCATTTGTCTTTATACCTCCCTTTGTGGCTTAGCCGCTGAAATGCCGACTGCGGTGAGAGTACAGGAAGAGTGCAATTGCCCAAACAGGATGGCTTGGTGGCTATTTCTGATTCTGAATGCCTGTCCCACCCTGTACAGGTGCACAAGCACCTTCGCAGCCAGCACTGCCCAGTTTTTTCTGTGCGTGGCTGGAATTCCAAAAATGTGCAGCATAAAAAAAAATAGAAAAGTCTTACATTTCCACCCAAACACCTAGCAAAGAAGGAAAGCATCCTCCCCAGACTCTACTGCCTACTTCACGTACTCTAGCTTCAGTCACCCTTCAGGAGTTACGGCCAGGGAGCTGCTACTCATCCCACACTTCCCCCTCTCCAGAGCTGTCTGTGTACTCAGTGGAAAAGTAAACCCTCAAAGCAAAGGAATGAGGGGTCAGGGAGAAACTACAGACTTCATATTTAAAAGCTCCTTCATACTTAAAAAGCTTGTGTCTATTGGAACTAGACTTCATTGCTCTTATTTTCCTTGTTTCCTTCCAAACAAAAATTTACCAGCTTGACTCCTCAACTGTCCCTGAAACAGCTCTGACCCATCAGCCTTCCCCCCCTTGATGCCAAAGACAATGTTGCCTCTGTCTCACTCGCTGTTTTCTTACATGGACTGACCAACCCTTTGTATCTCGGAGATAAAAACCTTCTGCCAGCGGGGCAGCCATACAGTATACCCAAGAAGGAAGAGAGGCATTGACACAGGCACACACAGAGGCTGCGTTTCCCCAGTTAGTGGAAGGTTGAGAAGATCACAGGCACCCAATGAAAAGATCTCTTCTTTCAGCTTTGACTTCAAGCACACAGGGTTTATTTTTTCCTATCAGGAATAATGCTAGAAAGGTTTAGGTTCAGGTAAAAATAGCTTACTCTCTCTATGCAGGGATGCTCAACAAGAAAAAATAGTGGCTATCTCTGAGCGCTGAGTCAGCATGAAACCGTATATACACGTCTAATTGAGTGCTGACAATGTGTTTGGCCCTGTGGAAGGCAAACCCAGACAGCCTCTGCCTCAAGGGACTGGCAGTCAGACACAGCAAAGAACTGTGTGCTGTGAGGTTGTTAGTATTTTCCCCAACAACAAATTTCCAAACAACGAGAGCACCTAAACACCCTGCTTGCTACGGATGGGATAATTTACGGGTGTGTGCAAGCACAGTCCTGCTCTTTCTGCGTGAGACACTGCCCTGCTGGGATTTGTGCGAGCCACTGCTACTCCAGGGGCTTTCAGTCACGAATGCACGTGTTTCTCAAGCTGCCTGTGGGACCAGCTGCCATCTACCGCACTAGCGAATAAATACTCTCCCAACAGTTCCGC